TGCGCCGAAGACTCCCCAGTGCCGCCCGAGCACATCTCGGCGAGCAGGCCGGGCTCCAGAGATGGCCTGGCCCGGCTGGCTCGGCTTGGCCCGAGCCCAAGCTCGACCAAGCTCTCCGAGAGCTTTCGTGCTTTCCCACTTTGCTCGCTCTCTCTCTCTCTCTCTCTCCCTCTTTCTTTCGCCAGGGCTATGGTGTAGGGGTTTTGCCTCTCTCTCCGTCTCTTTCTTTCTTTCTGCTGGGCTTAGGGGTCGTTAAGACCCTCAGGCCATAGGCCCGCCTAACCCCCCCACTGTGTTAGTGAGTGGTTGGCTTTGGGGTACTCCAGATCGCGGTAGGGAACTACTTGGTGTGCCTCCGGTTTCCGTGCAGCGAGCCCCACCCTTTACGCTAAACCGCCCGCATCCCGGCCACACCGCCGCGCCCCTATGGCTCTCACCCGTTCGTGGGGCTCGCTTGCTTGTACTTCCGTCTCTCTCTCGCTCGCTCGCTCGCTGCTGGGGTTGAGTCTGCGAGCAGACCCGGGCCAAAGCCCCCTCTTTTTTTTCTTTTTTTCTTTCGCCAGGCTAGGGAGGCGAGCCCCCGCCCTTGGGGGCCGCCCGATGTTGGCGGTGCGCATGGTATTACATGCGGTGGACTAGAGTTACGACACCCCGGCAGTACGAAGTTGAACACAAAGTACATGTGCCGTGCTAGGTTCTCGGGCGTGTTCGTAACTGGCGAGAAGTTGGAGGCAGTTGTTCCGCCCCTGTATTGCTCCCCCGAAACGGTGTAGGTAACAAGTACTGGACACCCCGATGCATGCATTAGGCTGAACGCACCTGGCGGTTTCTGTGTTCGGGGTTGCACATCAACAGGCTGTACTTTGCTGAAGGCTACATGGCCCCCCTCTCTCTCTCTCTCTCGCTCTCTCTCTCTGTTTCTTTCGCCAGGGCTGTGGTGTAGGGGTTTTCTCTCTCTCTCTCTCTCTTTCTTTCTCCGGGCCTGAGGGCGAGCTCTCTCCCTCTCTCTCTCTCTCTCTCTCCTGGGCATGAGGGCGGGTCAACGCCCTCGGGCACCATGCCCCCCCGTCGTGTTGACGGGTGCGAGGGGTGACGAACGAACGATGAACACGGTCTCAGCTACAGCCATGTAGTATACGTTAACGTTGACCATGTTCCATCGCTCTCTGTTCGACACGTGCAAGATGATTTCCCCCTATTTCCCTGATTGTAGGCACTAGCAGCAGAAATCAGTACCTGTTATTATCAGGATGGGGAAAATGATGCCAACGTATCATACTCTTCCGGTATGATGTCTCGCCCTCAATCAATGCTGGCCGGGAATCAAAGAAAAACAATCAGTGCACGACCATTCTAAGAATATGCTATCCCCCGACCGTTTTTGCATCAATTGATTGTGGGCGCACAGCGAGAAAGTCACAAAGGTCATACAAAGCATCAGAGTTCTGTCACATTCGAGGACAACATGCATGACAGGCCTTACGGGCATCACCCTACCAACTTCAGTTCTCGATGCTTGAACAGTACAGGTTTTGTTGTAAGCACTGATTCTCTCTCTCTCTCTTTCTTTCGCCAGGCTAGGGAGGCGAGCCCCCGCCCTTGGGGGCCGCCCGATGTTGGCGGTGCGCATGGTATTACATGCGGTGGACTAGAGTTACGACACCCCGGCAGTACGAAGTTGAACACAAAGTACATGTGCCGTGCTAGGTTCTCGGGCGTGTTCGTAACTGGCGAGAAGTTGGAGGCAGTTGTTCCGCCCCTGTATTGCTCCCCCGAAACGGTGTAGGTAACAAGTACTGGACACCCCGATGCATGCATTAGGCTGAACGCACCTGGCGGTTTCTGTGTTCGGGGTCTCTCTCTCTCTCTCTCTCTCTCTCTCCTGGGCATGAGGGCGGGTCAACGCCCTCGGGCCTCTGGCCCCCCCGTCGTGTTAACGGGTGTGAGGGGTGACGAACGAATGATCTACACAGTCCCAGCTAAAGCCATATAGAATACGATAACGTTGACTGTGTTACATCATTCTCATCGACACGTGCAACATCATGCCCTCAATCCCCCGCTGTTTTAAACTACAAATGCTTCAAGAAGGAGGATGACAGAGGTCATGACTTTTAGAATTGCACCCCTCAGTAAAAGAGGTAATTGCACTGTGTTGTATTGCCCATTCTACAGGACAAGTGTCGGGGTTTCTCACGCATCACAGGAAAAATTCACTGACAACAAGATAAGGTGCAGGCAACTAAGATCACTCATCCCCCGATTTCCACAGTGGAGGGTCTACCATGTTTCACCCCTCTAGGGATAGGTCTTGTATCTGAAACAAAGGCACAGCGTAGCTTAACAACAAATAATCACAACCACAAGAAGGACCATTCCCCCGATGGGCGTGTCTCTACAACAGTTCAGCAGATGCGAAAAGAGTTTCGCCATACATCTTCAAAAACATAGAAAGATAATCCCCAACGATGCACAATATACGTTTGCATGGCGGATTCCGCTTTCGCATGACTGTGCTTTGACAATATGGACACCATCGCACACACAAGCTCACTCAAAGCCTAAAGAAAGTTAGCACATTTAATCGGTGTTCCATCATGAGAAAGGACGGTCGTTCTGCCCTGGTATCGAGGGAAGCTCTGAGGGTAAACCAAAAACGCAGCATGTGACAACGCCACCAAGCGTCATAAACAACAGCGTGTATCAACTTCGACTTCCCCCGATCCTCTGTATGCAGTAGCATGTAAATATCCGAGGGCCCGGCCGGTACAGCTGTATTAGTGATGTCAAGGGGAGGCTTGCTTTATAGAACAATGACACAGCACTCACAATCGACCTAAAGGACGAAACATGTGTACTATCAACTCTGGCCTCCCCCGGCGTCTGTGCTTGCACGGCGGCACACTAGGTTTTCAGGGCCACAACTCACTTTGTTACATGAGGGTTGGTTTTGTTGCAGTAATGTCAAGGAGAGGCTCGTCTGCAAATCAATGACACAGCCCTCGCTAGAGACCTAAAGGCCCAACATATGTATGACCAAAGGTGGCCATCCCCCTCGACATTTTTGGCTGCAACTCGGAAGTTCAGGGTGGCATATTGTATGAAGAACAACAACATAACAACCCTACATCGACTTTCTCTCTCTCTCTCTCTGTCCCTCTCTCTTGTCTCTCTTGTCTCTCACGCTGCTCTTTCGGGGTGCCTCTCCGAGAGCTGGGACAGCTGCTGCAGCGTGCTGTGGAGCTTCGGCTGGCGCTCCTCTCGGCTCACGCATAAAACAAGTCAGTCGAACCACCTCTGCTTTGCCAAACCTCGAAGCACTGCGACGCGCTCACGTCCGCCTGCAGGTGGCTCTGCGTCCCTCGACGAAGCAGCACCTCGCGCGGCTGGGGCGCGACGCGAGTCCGAGGCTGACGTCTGGGTTCCCAACATCCAGGAAGCTGGCCAACCAACGGCGCCAGGCCTCAACAATGGCCATCCGAAGCAGTCTCCTGGCCCTCAGGCTCAATCTTGTCTTTGTTCTGCTCGGGCACGGGCCGCAGCTTCCTCCAGAGCCGCACGCTCGGCGCCACGCGCTGCGCGCTCTGCAGCCTGCGCTGCCTGCGCTGCGCGCTGCAGCGCTTCCCGCCTCTGCAACAAGCCGGAACAAGGGGAAAAACGCGGGCCGTGGGGCTTCGCATGGCTTTGAACGCTGTCAGTGCAGCTTGGCGGCTCTTGGTCGAGCGCGCACCACTTGTGATGGTGCCGGTCCTTGGACCGCCTGGCTTCCTGTGCCTCCTCCTTGAAGCTCTCGCCACGCTGCAAAGCCTCATCAAGAAATCACACTGGGGCCCTGAAAATTGATCTCTCTAGAATCTAGAAGGTCCGCCTGCGACAGTGCTGCCTGCATCTCTGCCTGCTGCGCGTTGCTCCGCTGGAGCGCGGAGATGCCTCGAAGTGAGATCGGAATCCCTTCGCACAAAGCGCAGCAAACTCGGCCACGTGAGACCCTGGGCCCTGGCTGTGCTGCATCTTCCTGCGCAGATCCTCGAACTCCGGCAGGCACCAGCGCGCAGGCACGGGATGCATCGGATGCACCGACGGAGACGGCACCAGCTGCACGGCTGCTTTGGCCGCTAGCGGGCTGCCCGGCGAGCGAAACTGCTTGCAAGGCACCGGCGAAGCCGCTGCAGGCGGTGCCCTTGCAGGGGACTGGACCTGCACAGCCTGGACGGTGCAGTCCTGCAAGGGCGATCGCTCCGAGCAATCGCGGCGCTCACCCGCCGGGCTCGCAAGGCTTGGACTCCAGGCCTCGCTGGCCTCGCCTTGCAAGACGGTGCTTGTCGAGGGCAGCGGGGCATCGCCACTTCGCGCGGTCTCTGCCCGGATGCGGTCGCCCAGTGATGGCTGGGACAGGGATGCGCTAATCTCCGCGCACTTCCGCTGAAATCTGCCAAGGTCCAGGTTCCACGAGCCAGCAAAGCTGTTCTCCTTCTCCGGCGTCGATTCAAGCCGCTTTCCAGGGCTCCGCACAAGAGGAAAGACCATCCTACGAGAGGCCTTCCTCTCGCATTATTATTACGCAACTCCCGTAACAACCGTTGCACCACCGTTGCCTGCACTGCTACAACTTTAACGCAAAGATGAAATGCTATGTGTGGCTCAATGCCTAAGCTGGACAGGCCTGACTCTGAATTCAAAGCTGAAAATCACCACGGAATGTTCGATGCTCGCTTCCAGCGACTATGTTCGGATGAGTCGAGTGAGGGCCTTAGCATGTTAATGCATGTTAAGCTAGGTGTGGGTTGGAATGGAGGAACCAACCTCGAAAAATGGACCTTCGAGACCAAGCCGAAGACCTTCCAAAGATCCTACAACCTGACAGCCTGTAGCAGGCCTGGTATGGACTGAGTCACAAGCAGGGTTGAAGACCTTGCTCGAGAGCAGCTCTATTTTTTTGCACATGTAGAGGGTGCGTTAAAGACAACCATGCTCTGCCGCACTGCTCCCCTTTTTGTTGTCTACGCCATAATCCGCTGGTCTTGAAGTTGCGCCACATAACTCCGAAGGACGGGATCGACGACCTCCCGGAAGTCATGCTCCTTATCGCTACGTCGAGTCAGTGGGTTTCACAGCACAGGTTGGGAACCGGAAGATGAACACAAGTTGTTTTAGAGACTCTTCAGCGGAGGCGCAGACTTGGAGGCCTCTTTCCCAAAGTGGCCGTCCACGTAGCCGGTGAAGATGCCCCGCGTCTCGAACTCGTAGTAGAGGACGTACCGGTCTTCTGTGCCATGATGCTCGACGGCCCGGTGGTCGACGAAGGAATCGTAGAGCATGATGGAACCGTGGGGGATGTTGGTTACCACCTCGTAGCCGGGGCTGTCCATGACGTGGGAACCGGGTCTCAGAGCTAAGGGGCCGTTGTTGGCCACCAAGGGCGTCAGAGGGACGCCGACGGTGAGCTGCGCGAAAGGGCCCGGTAGGATGATGTCCCTGTGCCGGGTCATCAAAGGTGACTGCTTCGGGGTCTTGGTGATCATCACCCGTCCCAGCCAGGGCCCAAGCTCTTCAGCTTTCCCGACGCAAGTGCAGCCATGTGGCGGTTCGGTTGCCAAGGGACCCTGCTGTGGCGGCACTTGATAGAACCAGTTCATGTCGGAACCCTGCGTCACCCACTGGCACCAGGCCGCTTGCTGCTCTTCCTCGGACCTCCCACAGGCCATGTTGTTGATCACATACCTCGCCGTGACCTTCAGCACGAGGTCGTTGGGCACCAGCCAGTCGGCGTTCCAGGGCTCCTGAGAACACGCCGAAAGGAGGCCTAGGCCTAGGCCACTACCGCTGCTGCACTGCTGCTGCAGTGTTCTCTTCTCTTCTCTTTTGCGAGTTCGACAACTCCTCGTAGGGGACGTGGACCTGAGACCGATCGGCGCGCAGCGGGGAGGTGAAGTAGCCCTCGGGCAAAGTCTCGAAGTGGCGCACGGCCGCCGCCTCCATCGCCAGCTGCTCGGCCGCGGGGACCATGCCCTCCAGCACTGCGAAGCCGTTCTTCCGCAGCACTGTCAAGACCTGCCACCCATGCTCAGGGGGGCAGGGATCGGCGAGTGGCAAAGGCAGCCCCCACCAACCTGGTCCACCAGCTGCTCCCGCTGTGCACTCCCAGAAGTGTGCCATGCACTGCAGTCCACCGCGTAGCCTCGCGCGAGCGGGCTTGCCGCTGGACCATACCTCGCTTACACGATCTGAGAGTCACAGAGCGCGCGAGAGAGAGAGAAGCTTCGGCTGGACGATCTTACTTCTGCTTACGTGTTCACGATTGAAGGAACTTGAGCACCATTGAAGGTCGTGTGCCAAACGCAGGCATGTAACATGTACAGGCGGGGTGGCGCGATGGTGTCGTCAACACCTCCATTTTGATTGGCAAATGGCTGAACCTCAGCACCAACTGGATGGTCGGGATGCCCAGGTGGAGGCACAGGGATGGAATCCCCGTAGAAACTGCGAAGTCCACCAGGGCCTCTCCTACTCCGTCCCGGCACTGGCCCCTTACGAGGCTGCACAAAGCCAGCTTGCCCCTCGACGTCCCTTTGGCTTGGCCAGGTCAAAGACCCCAGGAAAAGCAACCACGCAGGCCACACCCGCCATCGCCTCATGACACCGGCTCGGCGGCTGTGGGAACGGAGGGAAGACCGGCTCAAGGGCCCCGAAAGCTGCGAGAAGCGCCGGGGTCCCGGTCTGTTTGTGCTTCAATCCATAGAGCAATGGCACACAGTCCGACAGCCTTTTTCCGAACGTTCGCATACCACAAAGGCGTGTCGCATGGACCCGCAACCAAGGGAACCTTCCTCGTCCAGCCTTGCAAAGGCAAGATCGAGGGGATCTGGTGTTCGTGCTCGTGCAGTTTCTGCATGGATCCGAAGGGCCTGCTCAGCCCAGTTGCAGGGCTTCAACTTGCGTGCAGTGTGAGAACTTTAGCCCTCTGTCCAATCCCACGCAAATCAAATTCCACGAAGCGCTGACAGGCCCGTCAAAGGGCTGCTCCCGAGAATCGAAGCAGTTTCTGTTGTTCCGTCATTCGGTGCGCCCTCTGCAGCCTGCCGACAAGCATTGCTTGCCTTCCGAGGTCCAGCGGAAAATGCATTGCTAGAACAAAGCACAGTCCAGGATTTGAATGGTTGGTTGTACGAAGGCTGTGCGCAGGAACACTGCGCTATCGACTTCTTGGCGTTTGTTTGTGCTTTGTGCCAGCAACTGCTGGTCATGCAGAATCGAGTCTGTCTTGGGAGACGTGAACCGAACTGCCCCTACGGCTCTAAGCTCTCCAACAGGTTCCAGCGTCCTTCCCCAAGCGATGACTAGCTTGTCAAAGGGATCATTAAAGATTCGAAAAGGAAATGCGCGGTGCCTCGGAGCTGCACTATTGAAACCTCGCAAACTCGACCGATGGCAAGTCTCTTCATCTAGAGCTGATCTGTCATAATTCATAATGGTAAGAGTGCGAAGATGTCGTCACTGTCCTTTTCCCTACTACGAATGGTTGTTGTCAAGCTACGGCTGCGGCAGATCTGCGAGCCTCCAGAGCATGGAGCTGCAAAAGATTGCAGCCCTCGTGGTTCCAAGGGCACGTTGAGGGTTCTAAACAATCTTAAAATTGAGGAAATGACAAAACAAAGCTTGTCGGGCCCGGCACGAGCACAAGCTTGTGAGAAGCTGGTGACTGCCAACAGACCAAGCCTAAGATCCCGTGACCTCCTGTTGATTGTGCGATGATTGAGCAGTCAGCCAGTCACGCCTGCATGACGCAGAAAATTCAGCCTGCCCACATTGGGAAAAAGAACTGCATCCTTGCCTTCGCAAGGGACCCCGCGGCCTCTCAAAGAGCTGCCTCTTAGCCACTCCGCCCATACGGATTAGACTCGAGATGTCTGCAGCACGGCTCTGCGTCACAGAGTGTCCGAAGCTTCGAGGCAGCTCAAGTCAGGTCGCCTCTCTTTCATTCCTGCCTGCGGTGAATCTCCCATCCCCCGAACCTCTGCCGGTGCCCTGCCCAAGTTGGCTCGGCACCGGCGGGTCCTGACGCATCTCCAAAACTAGCTTAGATGACATGACATACGGCTGATAGCGCTGTATAGGTTAACGAGGGGGGGGCGAAAGAAGGGACAGGCAATGCACAGACTCTGCAGAGGCAGATCGGTGACACGACCCAAGCACTTGCCCGTCTCGGCATGTGCACAGGTCTCCGTGCGAAGAACCTCGGCACGTCGGCTTGCAGAGTTCTCCAGGCTTCGAAGCAGCTCGTGTGTGGCTGTACTGCTCCGGGTGGCAGGCCTCACCAGTGAAGACCTCCAGAATTCGTGCCGATCGTGGCATCAAGAAGGAAGTTGCTGGGGCTTCTCGGGTGTCTACGGATTTGGTGCATCTTCTCGGCCAGCATGCCTCCAGACCTTGCAATGCGAGGAACGAATCAAACTGCACCGGACCAGCGCAACGGGGGGCTGCGAGAGGCAGCTAAAGTTGCGAAAGGCTCTCAGGGGCCCGCTGTGAGCGATAGATCTTGGACTGCTGCTGGCCACAACTTTCCAGAACCACCGTTTCCTGACTGCCAGTCTCTGATTCTTCGCGGCTGCACGCATGTCTCGTAGGTGTGCCTTGAGACTGCGCTCCAGCCGCTCGCATTTTCGCTGCAGCGCCTCCAGCAGGCTCCAGCCACCGCCAGCCAAGAGTTCATGTTTGCCAAGAGCGCCTTGTTCTCCTTCTCCTTCTCGGCCAGGCGTCTCTGTGCTGCCTGGACAGTACCGACAAGTGACAAGAGGAGCTGAAGACTTGCGTTGAAGGCCGCAGGCCTGCACCTGCTCCGTAGCGACCCCCAACTCCTCTCGTAAGTCCTTCACCTCCTTCTCCTCGCATGAGGGATCACGAGTCCACTAGGCATTGCGCCATCAGTGCCCCATGTGCATCCTTGCTCTTCAGTGTTGCAGCCACGTTGGCTTTTTCGAGCTCCACCTTCACCAGCACATACGGACGTGAAGGTGGAACGGAATTCTTGGGCCCACCTTTCGGCAGTGTTGATTGCGCTCAACGAAAAGCTTGTCCGTGAGGTCAAGCTCCTTGAAGGTGCTACAGCGTCACCATCAGGACAACAAGAGCCATGGTGCAGCTATGTGCAGCCGCTCCTTCTTGAGATTTTCAAGCTTCAAATGCTGCGGGCCTGCAGAAAAACCGACAGTCAGGAGTTTGCCTCCTTCGATCCAGGACTCGGGCTGGGCTGGGCCCCTGAGGCTTCTGGCCTTCTGCTTCCTGCAGGACGGGAGGACGACTCTAGACATTCTAGTTCTAGACGCAAGGTCTGCAAGGACGGCAAGGCCATGCAAGGCCTCCAAGCGCTTCTGCAACCGTTGGATCTCTGCGGCATGGTCCTTCTCCCGCTCTCGCCTAGACGCCGCCGCAGAGAGAAACAAGACGAGGCTCCTACGGTAGCAGCTTCCTTGGGACGCTGCAGGCCCTGCAGTTCCTGCCACTCGTAGAACGAAAGACGCCCTGACGGAACCCCAGCGGAGATTTGCTCTTCTGCAAAGGCCCCACGGCTAAGCCATCTGGGGAATAACCGGCGAGCTGCCATGAAAAGCCTACCGGCCTTCATCCTCAATGGCAGATGCAGGCCGGACGAGTTGGCCTGAGGTGAAGATCGCTTCGTGCGCATCCCTAATGACCTTCTTCGCCATTATCTCCAAAACTCGCGCGGGACAAACGCAAGTGCTGAGGTGGCAGGCGTTCGGCGCTTGCCCAGTCGGATTTTGGGTCCTCTGCAGTGCGGCAGCTTCCAGGTTCTACACCGAGCACGTTGTGATTACAGTCCTGCTTCAACCTTCGCTCGATCTCATGCTGCAATCGCATGGTAATGCCTGCACCGTCCTTCAGCCGGTCTCATGCAAGCACTCCCACCGGGAAAGGATTGAGCATCTGGGTCGCCGGCACCGGTTTCTATAAGAGCTGTGTACGCTCGAGGACTTAGGACCTAACATCGTCGTGGCAGGGAACCTTGACTCGCTCCTGAGCAAGCTTAGCTCCTCGCCGACATCGCTTGCACCTGCCAGGCTCAAGCCACACCGCTCTATTGACTCGTGTTTTTCTCACTTCGAGACTTCGAGAGCCTTGTGGATGTCGGGGTGCGGGAGCGCTGTGCAACTGTACAGGTCTAGACTTGAGAAGCAAACATGCCGTCGGCGAAGCAGCGAAGCAGTCCGACAGTCACAAGCTGAGCTCAGTGTCGCCCGCTCAGGACAAGGAGCCTTCGGCTAACGTGAATGGTCGACTCAAAAGCCGACCCTAGAAGCCCTGAAGGCATAATTTGTGCGTATAATTTTCCCGTGAGCGCGCCGAGACAACGAGGACGCGACCAACTCATCAGTGGAACCAGCGCCAGCACCACCGCCCATCCCCACCACCAGCAACGCTACCATCACCTTCCACCACCACCACCACCACCACCACCACCACCACCACCACCACTGGACTCTAATCCTCAAGTCCGTCAGTAAATCAGAAAGCAACCAGCATGTCTTGCCACGGTTTGCACTGGCTCTGTCCAGGAGATTGACAGTGCTTTGTTAACATTGTTGCGGAACCGGCCGTAATGAATTTCAGGGTTCCATGTAGCCCACCGTTACACGAAAGCTTGGGTTGCAAGCACTTGGAACAAGCACGCCCACAAAATCTTGCACGCTGAATGCGTGAAACTCGGGGGGCTGCTATGATCAGATAAGATGTTCAAGTGGCAGAAATGCCGCCGACACTAGTGGCACAGGGCAGCTACGCTAAAAGCGACGTCACAAACGACAGCGATCGACATGAACATTGAAGGCGAGAAGGCAGGCCGCCAAGAGCACGTCAAAGATCGGGAAGCACAAGGCAAGCGGGTCCACCTCAACACTGTCCACTGGCATCGCATTCCACTCGCAAAGGCCTGTTCGCGCACGCCGACAAATACGACCCATCGAAGTCTAGCAACGGCGCCGATTGGCTAACCACTTTGTGGATCCAGCCTGACAAGATTTGGGTTGGAAGCGACAACGTGACTAGAAAGGCCGTTGCTTTGACATACGAGTACTGTTCAGTGAGAAAAGTAGGAGAAAAAGATTAACGCAGGATTTCGGTGCGCCACCCTGGGTCTCGATGAAAAACATCGAAAAAACAAAAATGCTTCATGTTCGTCACAAGCCTACCGTTTCCTATAATTTTCCCATTTTCCCTTACTTTTTTGAAAAGATCGATAAAGATAGGATTTCGGTGCGAAACCCTAGGCATCAAAGGTCTCGATGCACAGATCGTTCATTTTCCACACAATCCCATTATTGTCGTATTTTCCCTAAGCTCGGATTGTCCCCAGTCCTGTAAACTTTCCTCTTTTGCCACTAAAAATACTTTTCTCCAACCACCACTTCTCAGGCCTCTCGACAACTCTTAATGCTGCTGATTCCATAAACGCTCTTGTCCGCTAAGCTCACTCGCCTGACAGTCTGAATTTGGTTTTATGGCTTGGCTTCAATTCCCTGTCCTGGGCGGAGAGATTCGAGCAAGTCTTGGCCCACACAGGGCCCTTGGCTGGCGACTGCAGCGTCCATGTCAGATCTTAACTTCAATGCCAACGCCCTGAGTCTTCTTTTCTCCGAATCGACTGCATGTGGTGCAGTGCAGCCATCAACCTTTTAAAGGAGTGGCGCACATGGTGCAACCACAGGAACACATGTCGATCTCTGCCGGAGGGGCTAAGCAGTTGCCCTGCTGTTCCTAGATCCAATAGGTTTTCTAGACACAGGCTACGAATGTGGTTGGGGGACAACTCCATCTTCTTCGGAACCATGACAGCTCACCCAAAGACTGTGCATCGCAGCATGGCTGCGGTGGATCATCAAAGCTTCAAGCAATTCTGCCATCATGCCTCCATGCATTCTCCGCCAACGACATTAAGCATGCAGGAAAAAAGGATATTGAAAAGCTACTCCACACAGCTGGCAATCGCCATGCATTTCGCCAATCTTGGCTAAACTTTCTTCCGCAAACACGAGGACCACCCACAACATCCTGCACAATCATGCCAGTCAAGCCCCTTGTGGCCAACAGATACCACTTGGATGGAAAGGAGTGTCCAACAGATCTCAACCCCACGTGTAAATGACGATCAGCCAGGAGCCACAGACGTCCCCTTGAACATCTGTTCACGGCTTGCTGGGTTGCGGAAGCAAATCTAGATGCTTCCATATCAGTCCTCAATCACCGCACGTGCCTTCAGCAGTCCCGCGCAGTGCCTGCAGGACTTAGCAAACCTCCCGCCTCTGACCGCGTTACACTTCACATAGTTGCGGGCGAGCAGCTTACTGCACACTTTGTACTCCAAGACATTCATGTATCGCGAGCCTCGAAAGTGCATACATTGCCATACGGTTGCAATGATGACGGCTTCCAAGGCCTTCCAAAGCTTTTCCGCATTCCTCGGTGTCAAGATCTGGGAAAGGTCGTGAGGCTTGCCCGTCAAAGCAACTCCGCCAAGCAGCAAAACAAACGTGCAACTTCTTCCGCTTCAGCAGCCTGACATTGGCGGCCTGGGGTGAAAGACTTCTGCTGCGGGGCTGTTGGGCCATCAAGGGCTTCAAAACTCAAAGGAATGCTTGCGTGCAAGGACTGTTGCGCATGCAGGCTGCTTCCTAGCGAGCAGGACTCCTGTTCTGTCTAGACAAGACTCAGACTAGAACCGGGTACCATCTCTTCGCCAGGATGCGTTTATAACATCCGGAAGACATTGGAGAAGCACCTCCTTGAGCCACTTGCCTGCAGTCGCCTGCGCCGAAAAGCGAGGCTTGAGACTTCCCGTTCTCTTTCAAGCATAGCGGAACCTGCTACTAGTGAAATTAAAGAAAAACCATAAATGCCACCTTAACACCTTGGCCCTGCCACTGCAATAACCAAGAAAATGGCAAAAAGCATTCTCATGGCAGCAGGATAAGAAGAACATCTGGGAGCAGCCGGCAATTATGCAAGGGGAGCAAGAACCACAGAAAAGCCAACATGATTAGCGGATGACATAGTTCCAAAGTTCGACTAGGAAGGCAACTGAAAAGTCATTCGAGTCCTCCTTCCCTACCTCCTCCTCACCGTAGCGTTCACGAGCCTTCGTCCCAAATGCTCTGGACGAAGACTACGGAGAACCCGCCTGGTTCATGAAGGGATCGTCCTTGAACATGAGCATCGATTCTCTGTCCCAGAGGATGATGCCACGACCGACCTGCGCCCAGCTGCAAACAAGAACAAGACATAGAATGGACCAATAGCTGAGAGCGAACGACACGACAGATAACAATGTGGGGCCATGTGGGGATGCACAAACTTCAGGTAGGTCGCGGCTCTTCAGCGGAGAGCTTGAAATGTGCCTTCGTTCAAGAGGGAGCACATCTTCGTCTTGGCAAGTCCAGCCAAGGCAAGTTATGCTACTTGTTTGTGCTCATCCAGCCGCGACCCATTTCAGCCTTATTGAACCTGCAGGCCCCAAACATTTTGCAGAAACCTTCAAGAGTAATGAATGCAAGTCTGGTTTGGATTGAGAACTCACCCTCTGACCAACCCGTCCGAGTCTTGGTGGTGCCGCGCGAGTGACCGCCAGCTAAACATCTTGCGTTTGTAGTTCCTGACCTGTTTGTTCGAACTGACAAGATGCGTGAATCTCAGGCGCAGGGTCTGTCTCCGGATCCTCCATGATGTGACTATACACGGCATGCATCATGCAGCGAAGGGATAGCTGATTGCAAACTCCAAACATAGGACATCACAGCACAGAGTGAACAAAACTGGAACACGGGCACGAACTGCATGAAACACCCCTTGACTGCAATGAGCGAACAAACTTGACAATCTGAAGAGGCAACGCATGCAACCCAGCATGCTGAATTTTCATACGGCCTTTCTGATCTTTGGTAGATTTAGGCCACAGATCTTAGAGGATCGCATTGCAGCTTCGTGCTTCTTCAAGTCGAATTTGCGGCTCGGGCTGCGGTGGTCCTCCGCCACCCCGCCTTGGCGACGAGCTTTGAGCAGGTGTGGACAACGTGAGGATCTCGGCGACTCTGAAACCTCGACCAGGCGGGGGCAGCTCAGCACAGCGCCGCACTTTCTGGGGGCCCGCCGGACCTGGCCTGATCTGCTGTGGGCTGAAGACATTGCGGAGGCTCCGCTTGATCGACTCAAAGGCCGGAGTCCATTCGCTGCCAATCCTCGCCACGCAAAACCGCAAAGAAACCTCTCAAAAAAACAAGCGATAGCGACGGCGGCGACGGCGGCGACGGCAGTTGCGCGCATTTTTGTCAGGGGAGTCTCCAGAATTCCAGGACCACGGGCTTGCCAGGCTCCGTCTCCATCAGCGGCTTCTTGGGAGCCACGTAGGAGTTCTGTCAGGTCGGTGCCAGAGAAGACGTGCTCGCTCGCTTCAGCTATCCATTTCAATGTCATACTGAAGTTTCATTTCGAATTCCGTTGCCTAGAAGATAGAGACTCTGACTCTCAACATTGTGGATCAGACAATCGTACGAGGCCCGGGGAATCGCCTCGTCCACGGCCACCATGTTCGTCGCCACCTTCTCGGTGATCCCCTCGGTTCGAGAAAGTGCCATGCCGTGCAGAGACTGTAGACAAAGGCATCGCCACGGTTGGTCTGAGAGAAGCACCTTGTCGTGACGCGCCTCTGCCCGGAGCATCTTGAGTTCCCGTCCAGGATGCACCCAATTCAGGAATTCGTCCACGTCCTGCAGTGCGCGAATCCACCATGGAGTGTTTGAATCTCTCTCTCCCTCTCTCTCTCGACTTCGTTTCTCCGGGGGCTGTTTCACTTATGCACACTTGTCGCCAGGCTTCTGGGCTGATAAGGTTCTGAGAAGCAGACCCACAACCAAACGAACTGTTTTTGGAGACGGAGGCTCTCCATTTTCACTGGCGGTGGTACGCAGGCCATGCAAAGACTGAACAACCAAGCGATGCATCTCTGTATCCGCCGGAAGCATCACGGCAGGCGAGGACGACCCGAAAACAAAACTGCACGACTCATGTTGTCTTCAGCTACGCATCTGCTGTGCGTTCACAGTCAACCATTTTTCGAGATTTGCTGAGCAGGACATGCACCGACTACATGAGAAAGCACTTCACGATTCTTGATCTGATGTCGGGTGTGCATGTTGAAGACACTTTCCCAGCCCTCGCAAAACCCACCGACTCCCATTCTTTCAAGAGCCCCGGCCTGATTAAGCAGCACTGGATATTATGCCACTAGCGACACTGCAAGAGTGCCGATGCTACAATATGCTCCAGTCACCGAGTCTCCGGCGATACCTCCAGACTTGTCCGCATCGATAAATTCGTGGAGCTCATCGCTCGCTGACCGAGACCTCACATCCCACAGTCATCTCAGAGGGCCCAAAAGTTGCGTGGATGCGTAAACGTTGCGTGCATATGAGGAGTTGTCAAAATTGGGGTCCCTTTCTGGGTACCCTAAATATTAGGTATTAGGTGCCGTATACTACTTTAGGGACCCACAAAGGGACCGTAATTTTGACAACCACCCATATGTGTGGATGGCAACAGTGTGACAAAGATCCTTTACCAAACCGGCGAACTTGCGGAATGCCACAACTTGAGACCTGCAAGGGGTGGGGGCGGGGGGCGACGAAAGCTCTTGCTGTATAGAGTTGCGAAGGGAGAGGTGAGCTGTGGTTGTAGCTAGCAATTCGGGGCTTGCCTGTAAGAAGGAACCGCCTTGCTTCTGGTGGGCTAGACTCTCGATACCGACTACCTTTCCAAGTCTTAAATGCAGGAAGGATGCGTTTCGTTTGCAGTGTGCAGTGTATGCGTTTCCAGCCAGAAAATAGGGCATCGAATCGTTTCGGTTCCTTCGGATCAAGGAACCGAATCGTTGCGTGTCGTTTCGAGGGAACCAGGCCCTTTTTTTCGGTTCGATTCGTTTCGTTTTCGGACCGCTGGGGGACACGACCCGTGGAGTTCGGGGTGTCGCGCTTCTCGGCCTTTAATTCGTCCCGAATCCTGGGCCGTGCGGCCCTGCCGGCTGGTCGGACACGAGGCGGGGGGAAGTAGTCATTCGGGATTGGGGCCTAGATGCGAGGTAGTTTTCAAGAAGGAACTGCAATGCTGTCGGGGGTCTTCGTCAACACCAGAGTGCACGCGAACCTGCGGGCTTGGGCCGTCCGAGGGTGCTGGTGGGACTCTTAGCCCCGAAGCTTCGCGGCGATCTGCAAATGACTGATAGCCGCGGTCGGCAGGAACGGGTCGAAGATGTGCGTAACAGGATCGGTGCGGCCCCAGCACAGCAGGTCCGCGCGTGAGTTCTACAGAGTGGTGTGCCGCATGCATCCAATCGCTGCAGCTCCTGGAGCCTAAGTGGAGCAAGACAACGCGGTTCAAAGAGGGCGCGCGACTGAGCAGGACGTAGAAGGCAAAACAAACAGCGGCTTGGGATGTCGGGGGCATTGAAGACATCGAGAAGCATGGCTTCGGGGGTATGTCCTTGGACGTACGCGGTCTGGGTTGCAGTGGCTGTGAATGGCAGCTGCCGGCGCTATACTCGCGTGGCTGCAGGGTGATACGTGTTGCCGTGCGCATGCTCGGGGAGGTGTTTGTGGAAGACCAACTGCCAAGGTCGCGAGGCCAGGTGCACGTAAATGTCTCGGAGGATGGCGCCGAGTGGCACGCATTGCCGGAAGTCCAGAATCTTCAGCGAAGCTGGGTTGGCGAGGGTCGAGAACTAGCCGCTCAAGAGTGCACGGACAGCCGCGAACCATACCGAGCTCTCCGCATAGCTTCGGAATCTGCAGACGGATATGCATGCCAATGCGGATGCAAAGCACGCCTGTGAGTTGGTTGGTGTCAGTAGCCAGGCGACGTTGAGCATGGCCGTGTAGCATGCGAGCATAAGAGGCTCGCAACACACTTTTGCCATGACATAAGCACGCACGTGAAGCAGCAAAGCTTCTGACGGGAAGCCGGTAGGCGACCATCATGGGTATTGTTGGTTCAAATCAAAGTCATTACATGACAAAGTGAGCGTCGTCAGCACCATTGGGTGCCCAATCGTAACCTATGAGCGAGCACATGAGCAGCACTGGGGGACGTACCGTTGTTGTTGATGCTTCTGGATGTTAAAAGTCTGAGCCGTTAGACGAGCATCGTGAGCATCATTGGTGGCCCACACGGAGACGCTGAGCGCATCATGAGCATCAGTGCAGTCCCATTCGGAGCCGGCAGGCCAGCATCATGAGCATCATTGGGGGCTCGCTCTTCCGTTTCAAGCCAGCCTGACACACTACTTTCGGACGGCCGCTGGAGCACTGGTGCTGCAGGGGGTGGGGAATAGCTCCCGAAACTTGACCCGAATTTGTCCAAGTTTGGGGGTCCATTCCCCCAAACCTCCAAGCTTTATGGCAAAACAAGTTCTGGATCTGATACGAGAAGCTCCCTTGAGAGCTTTCGCGACTAGACACGAGGCAAGGAATGGTCGTGCGAACCAACTAACATCAGAAGGTCGAAAACGGACAGGCGACAAAGGCGAGTCCGCTGCCCCACGCGAGGGGCGCTGAATGGAGACAATCACTGCCTTGAGTCTTCTGAGTGTCAGACAGCATCCCCGGACTAAACTTCTCAACGAAATCCCAAAACTCGCTTTTGTCGACGACCTTGTTGCCGTCGTGGTCCTCGGCTGCTTCACTGCAATGTCGCTGACTTGATATGCAACAGTACTAGTCGCACTGCAAGGCTCCTGTGGTGCAGACTGACACACGTGTCAGCAAAGAGTTATCTGCTGCGACCGATATTGTGCTGACAGCAAGACCTGTAGAGCTGCGGAGGCCAAACCTTGCCGGGAGTCCATCTGCTCGAACAAAGCCTTCACCTTCACCTGGTCCATGGTCTCCAAACGCCTTCGAGGAACATGCGCCAAGGGCACCACACGCGAAGGAGCGTCGCCCCGCCCCACTCGGCCCCGTCCGGCCTCCTCACTGAGCTGAGAAAGCTGTTGTTGGTCTGGAAGACCCATCCCAAGAACTCCTCCCTGTCGATCCTTGGCTGCCAGATCCCCAAGCTTTCCCTGCGCTGCCGTGCTGAAAACTCATAAAAGCATCTTTCCCGAGCTATCGATGTCGATCTCGTCAAAAATCCCATCCTGAGCCAGGAACAGGGCACAGGGTTGCGTCACGGTTCCAAGGGCCTGATACTTTCTCGTTCCATGCATCGTCGCATAAAAATGTGCATGTATGTTCTATTCTCTCCCATATGCATAAGAGCCAGCATGTGTAGCAATGATGTTTGCCCATGAATGGGCCTGCCAACACCAAGGCATGGTTGAAGTCACAGAAAGTCAAGCTAAGCACTGACGCACCGACCCCTGCATTGGCAGCTGCTAGCTAGCGCATGGGTTGCGAGGCTTTGGTCTGAACGAATCCAACCCTGATCTCCCCTTTCTGTGCTCCTTGCACCGGGCGTCGCTCCGTCTCCTTGCAATGCTCTCCCTGTCGCGTGAGGCAGCCGTCAGCAAGTGGTAGAACCCGAGCTTGTCCAGCTCGCCTCAAAACAACAAAAAAGAAAGCCCAGAGCAGGGAAAAGGGTGCCCACGGCCCGCGCCTGTGCGCCGATCGAAGAGGTGGAAAAGCTCCGTGGCGCGCCAGTAGTCCATGGAGCGGATGCTCTGAGGCAGGAGACCCTCCTCTTGTCGTTCGGTCCCGGCGGCGACCTGTTTCAGCGCCATCTCGTCTTTGCTGCTCCAAGTTTCGCGCCATGGCCTGTACTAGATCGGTATAGCCATGCATGCGCATAGACAAGAGGCATCACATCTCATCCCCTCTGCCTCGTGACGACCTTCGGCTCCTCGCAGCTTGAAGAGGTTAAGAGACATCACTACTTCTTGCATCTTCTTGCTCTGAGTCTCTCTGCCATCGAGTCCTCTACAGCAGGGGCTGATCCACGGGAAGCTGCTCGCGGGGAAGCGTAGGCCACCAACTCGGCACTCGAAGCTTCAGAAGCTACCCAGATGGAGCCAACAGCCGACAGCTGCCTCCATCTTCTGACCGTCGTGGAGCTGAATCTGCAGGCTGTCCAACGGAGGCAGGCTCGAGGTCGACGATGCCTCCGTGACCCCGGGAAGCTCAGGAATCTCTCCAGGACTCGTGCGTCCTGCGCGCCTGCTTTCCTCCGAACGAACGGGTGCCGCTTGGAGAGCTGGGAACAGACCCATGCAAGGACCTCACACGTGCAGAGCACGGCACAAAGAAGTGTCCACTGTCGCTCCAGGCCTCTGTTGTAGCTGCTGCAGCCACGGGTGGGTAGCAAGCAACTCTGTCTTCATCCGCCGTGTTTTGGGTGACGGCCGTGCCCTCGGAAGCCCAGAGAGACAAAGCAAGCATGTAACCTTGTGTCCAAAGTCCCAAACTCCACCAAGGCACACAGGAACGAGCGCCAGGTCTTCCGATCTGGTCGCCAGCGCCAGCGCGGACGGGGTCTCCTTCGAAGAGGTCTCCTGGTCCTCCCGGATGGCGAGGGCCCACACACCAGGCTCCTGAACAGGTCGCCATGCGTTCCGCGTCTCCGGTCCACTTCTGGAAGGGAGGGGAAGGGGAGCGCGCCTCCGCCCGGTCCTCGGAATCACCGACTGGGCCAAGGCCAACAGGCTCCTGCCCAGCGGCCAGCGGCCAGCACTGTACACATCGTGCAGTTTTTTCCCGGCTCTGCGTCTCCTCGCTCTCGGTGGGAAGGGCCAGGGCCGAGCCGCTCGGGCTATGAGGAAAGGGCTCCTCGACGAAAGAACGGAACAGAGCGAAAGAGAGAAGAACGAGGGATCTCTTGCTTGAGTCTGACTGTCCTTGGTGCTTCTGGAGGAACGCGCCTGGGATCCCCTGCTTGGAATCCGACACATCAGGTCCCCCTTCCTTAGGAAGCTCAGAGATGCTCAAAGCATGCCGCCTGTGCGAGTGCAAGCACGGAGGGCAACGACCTTTGGGGCCCCGGGCGGCGTGGTGGCGGCGGACCAACGCTCCTGCACAAACAACAGTCATCGTCCATGCCCTGCTGCCTCGGGAAATGGAACAATGACAAGCTTCAACTCACCTCGTCCCTCAAGCTCGCTTCGAGCGAGCCACTGCGAGAGCCAATTCCTGTACGGCACGGTACCACCAACTGGAACGTAACGCAGACGCAGATAGTCGATGCTTTCCGTGCTTCCCACCTTCCACGGTGCTTCCGCGGGACAGCTGCGGAGTCACAGCCAACTCCGCTAAGGGCTTGGATGCCTGGGGACTGTGCTGCGATGCCTGCTGTCACTCTACTACCAGCACTCGCAGTCGCAGTAACTTGCATGTTCGCTCCGAGGAACTCCGCGTGCCTTCCGCCTGGGTTCCAGGGCCTGTCTGCGACGTTTGAAGCACAGCATTGGGCATAAAGGAGAAACATGTGAACCGAGAGCCTCTGATGCGATATGGTATTCGCACGCCCACTTATTGAGAGCGCCGAGGTCTGCCACCGCTTCAATGGCCGGCATGGCTCGAATGCCGGCACAAAAGTGCAGAAGATGTTTCGTTGAAACGGTTGAAACGGTTCGTACAAGGCTGCAAATCTCTCATTATCACGAGGCCATACGGGGCCTGTGGCCTCCCAACCCCGTCCCATTGACTCGTTCCGCACATCACCTCATAACTACACCGCAGCTTGATCACAAAAGTTCATTCCAGGTCTGCCAGCATCGAAACCTGATCAGCGGAAAACAAAAAATCGACCTATGACTGATCACGCCGATCACCCGTTGGCTTTGCTCTCCCTCGGTCAGCGCTTGTGCCGCGAAGGTCCCTGCAGCACCGAAACCTTGCACATTGGCGAAGATCTTAGCTGCTTCACTTTTTCAGAACTGGCGGAGCTGCTGGAGGAGGACGGAGCACAGCGTCCGAAAGTCCAGCTGCGAAGTGCCGCGCAGGGTGCACTCCGACCTGAGCCCAACCTGAAGGCGGTGGCAGACCCGAAGACCTCAGCTGAGCAGAGCATCAGGGCCAAAACGCCAAAACGAAGGCGCACTTTCTTCGCTCTGAAGACATGAAACATCGAAGCTGAGCGGCGATGGGTAGATCCTTGACGAAAACGGAGCTGCAGATGCCATCCACGTCACAGCGGCCGCTGCTCTGTAGGACGTGCTGAAAGTGGCGCCAGAGCTCGTCCTCGAACATGCGTTGCTGTCGGAGCCGGACTGAATCCAGTTAGGGACATGTAGTCAATGTAAGACTCGCCTGGATGCCTGAAGGTCTGCAGGACGTCTTCACCTGCTCCATATCATACCCAAGCCGGAGCCTCTGTGCAGGAGCCGCAGGGGCCTGCACCGGTCTCGAAGAGGATGAAGGCTCTGAAGGCTCCGGCGGCTTCGGCCAGTCTTCTGCCACTGACACTGTGCAGCTCGCGATCTCCACGCTCTTGTCTGGGCATTCGAAGTGGACAAGATCGTTGCTAGTGCGCAGATCCCTGCTCGCGCCACGGATATAACCCATAGTCCACCGCTGGACTTCACCAGGAAGAGCTGCGGAAGCCTCCACCGAAAATAGAGCTGCAGATGCCATCCACGTCACAGCGGCCGCTGCTCTGTAGGACGTGCTGAAAGTGGCGCCAGAGCTCGTCCTCGAACATGCGTTGCTGTCGGAGCCGGACTGAATCCAGTTAGGGACATGTAGTCAATGTAAGACTCGCCTGGATGCCTGAAGGTCTGCAGGACGTCTTCACCTGCTCCATATCATACCCAAGCCGGAGCCTCTGTGCAGGAGCCGCAGGGGCCTGCACCGGTCTCGAAGAGGATGAAGGCTCTGAAGGCTCCGGCGGCTTCGGCCAGTCTTCTGCCACTGACACTGTGCAGCTCGCAATCTCCACGCTCTTGTCTGGGCATTCGAAGTGGACAAGATCGTTGCTAGTGCGCAGATCCCTGCTCGCGCCACGGATATAACCCATAGTCCACCGCTGGACTTCACCAGGAAGAGCTGCGGAAGCCTCCACCGAAAATAGAGCTGCAGATGCCATCCACGTCACAGCGGCCGCTGCTCTGTAGGACGTGCTGAAAGTGGCGCCAGAGCTCGTCCTCGAACATGCGTTGCTGTCGGAGCCGGACTGAATCCAGTTAGGGACATGTAGTCAATGTAAGACTCGCCTGGATGCCTGAAGGTCTGCAGGACGTCTTCACCTGCTCCATATCATACCCAAGCCGGAGCCTCTGTGCAGGAGCCGCAGGGGCCTGCACCGGTCTTGAAGAGGATGAAGGCTCTGAAGGCTCCGGCGGCTTCGACCATTCTTCTGCCACTGACACTGTGCAGCTCGCAATCTCCACGCTCTTGTCTAGGCATTCGAAGTGGACAAGATCGTTGCTAGTGCGCAGATCCCTGCTCGTGCCACACCGCTGGACTTCACCAGGAAGAGCTGCGGAAGCCTCCACTGGGGCTGATACACGGGAAGCTGCTCGCAGGGAAGCGTAGGCCACCAACTCGGCACTCGAAGCTTCAGAAGCTACGCAGATGGAGCTAACAGCCGACAGCTGCCTCCATCTTCTGACCGTCGTGTAGCTGAATCTGCAGGTTGTCCAACGGAGGCAGGCTCGAGGTCGACGATGCCTCCGTGACCCCGGGAAGCTCAGGAATCTCTCCAGGACTCGTGCGTCCTGCGCGCCTGCTTTCCTCCGAACGAACGGGTGCCGCTTGGAGAGCTGGGAACAGACCCATGCAAGGACCTCACACGTGCAGAGCACGGCACAAAGAAGTGTCCACTGTCGCTCCAGGCCTCTGTTGTAGCTGCTGCAGCCACGGGTGGGTAGCAAGCAACTCTGTCTTCATCCGCCGTGTTTTGGGTGACGGCCGTGCCCTCGGAAGCCCAGAGAGACAAAGCAAGCATGTAACCTTGTGTCCAAAGTCCCAAACTCCACCAAGGCACACAGGAACGAGCGCCAGGTCTTCCGATCTGGTCGCCAGCGCCAGCGCGGACGGGGTCTCCTTCGAAGAGGTCTCCTGGTCCTCCCGGATGGCGAGGGCCCACACACCAGGCTCCTGAACAGGTCGCCATGCGTTCCGCGTCTCCGGTCCACTTCTGGAAGGGAGGGGAAGGGGAGCGCGCCTCCGCCCGGTCCTCGGAATCACCGACTGGGCCAAGGCCAACAGGCTCCTGCCCAGCGGCCAGCGGCCAGCACTGTACACATCGTGCAGTTTTTTCCCGGCTCTGCGTCTCCTCGCTCTCGGTGGGAAGGGCCAGGGCCGAGCCGCTCGGGCTATGAGGAAAGGGCTCCTCGACGAAAGAACGGAACAGAGCGAAAGAGAGAAGAACGAGGGATCTCTTGCTTGAGTCTGACTGTCCTTGGTGCTTCTGGAGGAACGCGCCTGGGATCCCCTGCTTGGAATCCGACACATCAGGTCCCCCTTCCTTAGGAAGCTCAGAGATGCTCAAAGCATGCCGCCTGTGCGAGTGCAAGCACGGAGGGCAACGACCTTTGGGGCCCCGGGCGGCGTGGTGGCGGCGGACCAACGCTCCTGCACAAACAACAGTCATCGTCCATGCCCTGCTGCCTCGGGAAATGGAACAATGACAAGCTTCAACTCACCTCGTCCCTCAAGCTCGCTTCGAGCGAGCCACTGCGAGAGCCAATTCCTGTACGGCACGGTACCACCAACTGGAACGTAACGCAGACGCAGATAGTCGATGCTTTCCGTGCTTCCCACCTTCCACGGTGCTTCCGCGGGACAGCTGCGGAGTCACAGCCAACTCCGCTAAGGGCTTGGATGCCTGGGGACTGTGCTGCGATGCCTGCTGTCACTCTACTACCAGCACTCGCAGTCGCAGTAACTTGCATGTTCGCTCCGAGGAACTCCGCGTGCCTTCCGCCTGGGTTCCAGGGCCTGTCTGCGACGTTTGAAGCACAGCATTGGGCGTAAAGGAGAAACATGTGAACCGAGAGCCTCTGATGCGATATGGTATTCGCACGCCCACTTATTGAGAGCGCCGAGGTCTGCCACCGCTTCAATGGCCGGCATGGCTCGAATGCCGGCACAAAAGTGCAGAAGATGTTTCGTTGAAACGGTTGAAACGGTTCGTACAAGGCTGCAAATCTCTCATTATCACGAGGCCATACGGGGCCTGTGGCCTCCCAACCCCGTCCCATTGACTCGTTCCGCACATCACCTCATAACTACACCGCAGCTTGATCACAAAAGTTCATTCCAGGTCTGCCAGCATCGAAACCTGATCAGCGGAAAACAAAAAATCGACCTATGACTGATCACGCCGATCACCCGTTGGCTTTGCTCTCCCTCGGTCAGCGCTTGTGCCGCGAAGGTCCCTGCAGCACCGAAACCTTGCACATTGGCGAAGATCTTAGCTGCTTCACTTTTTTCAGAACTGGCGGAGCTGCTGGAGGAGGACGGAGCACAGCGTCCGAAAGTCCAGCTGCGAAGTGCCGCGCAGGGTGCACTCGGACCTGAGCCCAACCTGAAGGCGGTGGCAGACGCTGGCATCCTCGGAGAGTGCAAGGAGGAGCTTAGCGGCTTAGCGGCCTAGCGCTTAGCTTTCACTTCTGCCTGTCCCTGCTGTTGGCTCTGCCTTTGCGGGTGCCTTTGCGGCTGAGGCTCTTCGAGACCGGGGCTGTCTGGGATCTCCCGCATCAGAAGGCCCACGATCACGGGGTCCCCGAAGACCTCAGCTGAGCGGAGCATCAGGGCCAAAACGTCCAAAACGAAGGGCGCTTTCTTCACTCTGAAGCCATGAAACATCGAAGCCGAGCGGCGATGGGTAGATCCTTGACGAAAAGGGAGCTGCAGATGCCATCCACGTCACAGCGGCCGCTGCTCTGCAGGACGCGCTGAAAGTGGCGCCAGAGCTCGTCCTCGAACATGCGTTGCTGTCGGAGCCGGACTGAATCCAGTAGGGCCATGTAGTCAATGTAAGACTCACCTGGATGCCTGAAGGTCTGCAGGAAACGGCTTGAGATAGCCTCGGCAATTTGAGGGTGGCCCAGAGCAGAAAGGATGTGCTTCAGATCCGAGGCTGTGAAGAAGCCACTGCTTGCCATGTCGATCTCCCTGCATCGACAGAGGAACTCATGCAGCTCTTCCCTGCGGAATTGCGTTGCAAGGATTCTGGCTGTGTAGATCTCTATCAGGGACGTGCGGTAGAAGCGGCGCAAATTCAGCATAAAGGAAGCGAACATAGATCCTGATGGCGAGCTGTCGGCGAGGCGCAAGATCCATGGGTGGTTCAGGGCTTCCTGTCGGAAGCTCCAGGCTGCCAACGACCGCACAAAAGGGGCCCGAGCTGAACGCCTACTAGGCCTGTGACTAAGCTTTAGCTCTAAAAAGCCGGGCCCGGCGCCTGGAGGCTGCAGCGATCCCAGAAGGACTGTTGCAAGCAGCCGGAGACGAAGCTCTTCGCCTCCAAGGGCTTATACCCTTCTACGAATAGAAGGAGACGCAGAGAGCCTTAAGCTTGCAAAAAGAGGTGCCTATTAAGCTTCCATTTAAGGGCACCTCCTCAGAGATCTTGGACCAGAAAGGCGGGTCGAAGGACACTTCCCCGCGATGAATGCGGCCAAGGATGGCATTCCGAGATGGAGCAAAGAACGGGGGGTAGCCACCTTTGCTCCCGGCAACCCAGACTGCATCAATCAAGCGACAAACGCTGTAAACGAACCAGATCAAGGGCGACACACATCTCATTGAATTTTCTGCCGCAGTCACAGAGAAGAAGGAAGGCTATGGCTCCAATGCTCCACATGTCGGCAGCCTCGTTTTTAGTGGAGAAACTCGTGGAACCCGCCATGGCGGACCGCTGCTCCTGCGCGAGAATGAATCGTCACAAACCTCTTCCACACACCCCTCAACGCTCCTCAACCCAGTCGGCATGCTCGCTCAAGACATTCGCCAGCACCTCTTCGTCCAAGAGGTTGACTCCTTCTTGCTCCTGAAAAGGTGGCGTTACCTAAGGTCCAGCACTTCATGTCGCCCCCAGTCGTGGGTTCAGGCTTGCTTGGGTTCGTGCTGGGATTGAATCCTCACCGTTGTATGTGTGTATGGATGTGGGTTCAATGCGCAAGTTCTTCGTGTGGGTTTGGTGCACTTGACCTTGTCGGAACGGGCCGAAGAAGACGCGTCCTGTGAAAGGCTGGGCTTTGTGGGACCAAGAACAACCCTCTTCCCTCTTCGACCGAAACGGCTCGAGGCAAAACCCTTCTCGTCGCACTTTCACAACTGAAACTTTGGCTTCGGCCCCTCACCTCCGGCACCTCGTGTGCATAGGCCGCCATCTCCACCACGGACTCGGCATCCTTCTTCCGCCTGTGAAGGCAAAGCTCTGCCTAAATCGAAACGAAACTCGATGGCCCTGGTCGGGCCGTGCTGACCGGAGCCAAACCGCACCTCGTTTGCTGGGGCGGCGCAAAGTCGGGAGCGCAAAAGACCAGCTTGCAAGTCTCGAAGAACTCGGGAAGACCTGAAGAGAACAGGGAACCGCACAGGAAAAAGAGGAGTGCTCTCTGCCCTCACACCTCTCACAAGGCCCAGGGGCAGGGGCTTTGCAAGTCGGGGCCGCTGAGATCTTCCACGGCGTTCCAACGATGGGCCTTCAGCTCGAGGCCGAAGTCCACGAGCTTCAGAGGCGCGTGGGGCGAGGCGTTCAAGAACCGGAAGCACTCCGGGCTCAAACCTCAGCAAAACACCAAAGAACCAAAGAGCAGCAGACTATGGCGCCGAGGCCGCCGAGCGGCTGCCGTGGTAGAGATGGCTCTCATGAAATGGAGCCAAAGCCTGCAGCATGTGCTTCACGAGCACTGCCGCCTCCTGCTCGGTGAAGTACTGACGCTCCAAGATCCGTTCGTAGACAGAGCCTCCTGTGCAGAGCTCTTGAATAAGGTGGACGTTGAGATAGTCCTCAAAGACCTCCAAGACTTTGGCCACCGCTTCGTGCTCGGCGGAGATTTTCTGGAGTGAAGCAATGAAGGAGTGCAGCCGCTCTTGCGCGGCGGATCCAGAAGGCTTCCGGAAGCTGGCGAGTTGCCGTGGCACTTTGGTCTTTCGGTGAACGGCCTTGCAAACGTGCGGCATGTCATCTGGGCCCGGTGGACACACCTCGTAGAGAACAGGCAACCAAGATGCCGCTTCGACCAAGTCTGACCTGTCGAAGCCAGGGAAACGCTTCTCTTAAAAAAACTTAGACTTTGCTTCAGCTGAGACAGAAAGAAATGTTCGGTGGTTTTGGACCGCTCACCGTCGCTCCCGGAAATCGCCCTGGCGATCGCTTGCGATCTGGAAGGCGACTTCCTCCGCGAAGTCGTCGCGGCCTTCACGAGTTCGGGCCTGGCTCTTGCCTTTGGATCCGGGACTCCCCATGTCTGCGACACGGGGAGCAAAACGACTGGTTCCGTAATCGACATCATCGCTCAAGGCTACAGGTAGGCTCTCCCGGATCCAGTCCACGGATGTATCCAATCGTTTCTGCACGCAGCAGAAGCCGCCCATGAAGTGCGGCAGACAGAACGATGTCTTTCATGACACCGCTGGACCATGAATGTGGAAACAGCATGGCACGTCATGCACATGCATCTAGCTAACTGAGCTAAAGTCATTAACTTCGGAGTCACCAAAAGTATCGTCTACATATGCCGTTTCGCTCGTGATCTTGCTTCGTCATTCAACATAATCAAACCACAGTGCCGGTAAATAGTCTCACGTAACATGCCAGGCATCTTGAGGATAACCTGCCAATTCAGACTGCGCAGTTGAAAACCATAGCAAATCCAGCTGCAGGCCGCAAGGAACGTTTCATTGAAAACGGATGCCAACTCTGCCTTGCAAGCATCATGCCATATGACAAGAACTCAACCCACCAAATGCAAGGATTCCACCTGAAGCTATGGCTGGAAAGTGAGAGCGATCGAGTTCGCGCAGGTGATGTGAAAACATGTGACACCGCTTACTTTCCCTGATCGGCGCAGACCATACGTCCAAACTCACACAACGACGAGTTTGGGCAACTTAAAACACGTTGTTGTGAGCGAAACACACTACCAAAACCGTGTCGGATTGCTTTCACAAGACGACAACGACCAGCAAAATGACCAAGGGCGCAGCATTCGATGAACGTGTGCACAAGCCTACTTCTTTGCATCAATGCTGCGTCACCTGCCATGTGCTTGCCGGGAAGCCTTCAGCATGGGCGATTACCTGGGTGTAGAGGCTGCTGGGCATTGCTGCCCGCGGCAAGGAAAAAAACACTTCGCAGCAGAGGCTGGACAGGTGTCCTTGGGACACAGGCGAGTACGGAAAACAGTAAAATCCGAGATTCGAACAAATTAACTCTGCAGATAATTGCCCGGCATCAAGCCATCTGGGATCTCTGAGTCCCAGCACAAACCACCTATGAAACAATTAACTTACGAACACCCCGTGGACAGACCACAACTACATAGCCACATCTTCTCACAGATCTATGCCGTGTTGCTCGCAGTCTTTGTTAGTCACACGCGTGATGTATGCAACTGAACTAAGGCTGCTCTGAGTGGCACATACAAGTTGGATCGGACTTATGGACAACAAGCTTCCTACATTTCGTGGATATGTTCTTTCGTTGACATCGTGCTCAGTGGCCATGCAAGATTGTGTGGACTGTTAAACACTATACGGTTCTACCCAATTACGACTTAAATATTCTAATTTGAGCTTTTTATGAGTCTGAAAACAGTAGATTCCTTCCGCGATCCCGTGGTTCGAAGTAGCTGCGACCCTTTGTAAGTCGGAAGGGTCTGCTCTGTCGAGCCTTCTTTCGTGCTTCCATGAGGCCCTAAACCCTAAACCGTGGACGTTAAACCCACCGAAAAAAGTTAAAAGCGATGAAAATACAATTAATCATGAAGGAAACGTATTCTCCAACAGACAAAAAGGCAAAAGCCAAATGTACGACCTCTGTGGCTGCAAAAAGCAACACGAAATCGCTTTTGGGGGTAAGAGTGAAAATAAACAAAATTCTTTTTGGAAGGTTTGTGAAT